CAAGATGGATCCTCGACACCTCCTTCAAGCGAAGACAAAACAAAAACTTGGTTTACAACTCTATACTGGAATGGAGGACCCAATTGAACACCTTAACCTCTTTGAGTCCACCATGGCATATCGGATGAACACCGACGAAGAGCGATGTCTTCTCTTCCCTTCCACCCACTCTGGTGGAGCTCTAAACCGGTATTGCCGTCTTCCACCTGAGACAGTAGACTCATTTGAGGAACTGAGGAAATTGTTTGTCTCTCAACACATCTTCCAGACCGATCGCTTGCATTCTACAGATGACTTGTACACTATTTGCCAGAAGCCAGACAAGTCACTACGAGAGTATGCTGGTTGCTTCAGCCATGTGTATTCTCTTTGCGCTGAGGCAGATGACAAAACCGCCTTCAAGGCCTTCACGACAGGCCTACGTGATTGTTTCTTCAAGTACATGATCAATGCCAACACTTGGAAGACTTACTCTGAGGTGATGACACAGACTTACAACCACGCCTCTACTGAAGCAAGGACATACCAAGGGAACCCCCATATGGTTAACCCCTATCAACACGTGGTAAGTTGAAGTCAAGTTCTGCCAAGTGAGGAGATCTTGGCCATTCAGACACCCATTGCATCATCTCCTGCCTCATTTAGTTACTTTTTAAGTCACCAAACGTATCTAGTCTCTTGGTAAGAGGAAGGATTTTTACTCTCAGCAAGCCCATTACAACAAGAGGGATAAAAGTTCGTATCAAGACAACCAAGGGTGAACGTATCGTCGACTATTATGACTATGGGGCCAAGCTTCACTCTTTCAAAATGGATGACTAGGTACTGAAGGAAATGCTATTATAAGAAGGTATACACATTACAAATGTTTTGACTCTCAACTGCTTGAGATCTTTTGTCACACAAGCCATTCGGAAAATATTTAAAGAAAAGGGAATTCAGACAACTTCTCTTGAGTATTTTGCGTTCCTAGCACTGGAACACTTGGTCTACGCTGACCTACCCTTATACTCCAACTCAGAGCTTCAACATGCGTACTTTGACACAAATATATGACACTAAGTGTTACAACCAACATGGTTCACATATCAAAAACATGGATCCCTTCATGCATAGCAAAACATTCATAAGCATCACTCATATCAATCAACATAAACATCATGCATTCCAACACATTCATACATAAACATCATACATTCCAACACATCCATACATAAGCCAACTGTGCAACTGTTTATTCTCATGCTTAAGCCCTCTAATGTCCTGTTTGAGATTCATCACTTCAGCCGCCAATGATTCAACCTGGCGGGTTCGAGCAAATAGGCGTTGGGCCATATTAGACACAGAACCTGCACACTGAACAGTGAGAGCCAGAGAATCCTTAACAGCTAACTCATCAGACCGTTTGGACAGTAGTCTGTTATCTTTGGGAGTGAGAAGGTTTCTGGCCACCACCGCAGCGGTCATATCATTCTTCATCACGGAATCCCCAACGGTAAGAGGACCAGTAGGGGAGACGAAGGATGGGCGCCATATGTTGTCTGGAGAAGGCGGAGCTACCTCTTCAACAAGGTTCAAGTCAAAACGACGATCGGAGGGGCCAGACATTTTCAAAGGTGTTGAAGAGAGAAGAGGTCGGACAAATCAAGATCTTAGAAGTGCAAGAATGGAGCTTCTACTGGTGGAGATTCAAGTGTGTTTTGGAACTTAATGCCAGCCCCTATAAAAATCTGCACTCGACAGAGCTTCAGAAATCGAAGAGGCGCCTGCTCAGAAATCGAAGAGGCGTTTGCTTTCTCAAAAGCTGGGCTGCTCAGAGACCACGAGGGTCGATCTCAGAAAACGAAGAGGCGTTTGCTTTCTCAAAAGTTGGGTTGCTCAAAGACCACGAAGGCCGATCTCAGAAATCGAAGATGCGCTTGCTTTCTCAAAAGCTGGGCTGCTCAGAGACCACGAGGGCCGATCTCAGAAATCGAAGAGGCACCTACTTTTCCAGCCTTGTCAGCACCTGTCACACGCACACTCAGCTTTGCGAAAATTATGGGCATTCTATCGACGGCTTCTGGTGAAGTAGAAAACACATGAGTCTTACTGTTCAATCACCCACTTCCCACACGCAACCTCTGACAAAGAAGGGTAAAAGAATAGCAAAGAAACAGCAATAACAAAGTTTAGACACATAAATTTTGAAGGTCTAGCTACCATATTATTACCCACAAGGGTAAAAGAACAGTACCACTGTTGGATAATTGGAAAGTCCCTGTGTGTCAACCTCTGTGCTTCGTGGCAAGGTAGACTAGCAAACATGCCCAACCTTTACTCACATTCGAGAAAACACTCCCAACAAGATTGCTTGCTCCAAAATCGAAGAGGCACCGTCCTCCGAATCTCGAGAGCCAGACTCCCAACATGACTACTTTCTCAAAAATCGAAGAGAGGGTAAAAGAACAGTACCATTGCTGGATAATTGGAAAGTCCCTATGTGTCAACCTCTGTGCTTCGTGGCAAGGTAGACTAGCAAACATGCCCAACCTTTACTCACATTCGAGAAAACACTCCCAACAAGTTTGCTTGCTCCAAAATCGAAGAGGCACCGCCCTTCGAATCTCGAGAGCCAGACTCCCAACATGATTACTTTCCCAAAAAACGAAGAGACACCACTATCCGAATCTCGAGAGCCAGACCCCCAGCATGATTACTTTCTCAAAAATCGAAGAGGCATCGTTCTCCGAATCTCGAGAGCCAGATCCCCGATAGGATTGCTTGTTCGAAAACCGAAGAGGCAACACTTTCCCAACTTCAAGAGCCAGATTTCCTTGGATAAAGCTGTCTGTAATCTTCACACGCAACATCACCTTTCCAGATACCACAGACCACTTTTTCAAAGTGCTCTGACAGAGTTAAAACATGTGAAGCTGGCAGCTCCCACTACCGTGCTATGACCAAGTAGGGTAAAGGAATAACATTACTACTTGTTGTTAAGGAGACTCCTATATATGTCCACCTCCATCCCCAACGGACAGGCAGACCTGCAAAAATGCTCAACCCTTCCTCATATCTGAGAGGGCACTCCCAACGAAGCCTTTCGAAATATTCAGCTTTCTTTCCCCCCCATAATATCTCTGCAAACAAGCTATACTAGAGCAAGAATATCTCATATCATCAGGGTTAAAAGCAAGAGTATCCCATATCATGCTTTTTCCCTGTCTTTTCCTTTGGCCTTGTTCTTATTTGCAAGACAAGGAGAAAGAGAGCAATCAGTCAGCACTTGGAATCAAGCTTCCAGCCAGGAACTGACTGCCTGGAACCCCTTACCTGATTACTTACCTGCCATTGCTCTCGAGTACTCATCTTCAACATCTTATGCTTCCAGGGAAGATACCGCATCTGCCTGAGGAATAGATAGGGCAAGGGAGAAGGATACAAGGAAGCATGTGGAGACAAGCGAAACAGCACACATGCCGATACATCCATTACTCTGTCAAAGCAAAAGTATCCCATATCAGCAGGGTCGAACGTACTCTAGATTTGATGGACTTGTTTTGACCCTCAAATTCTTCAGTCGGCCTTATACTCTGGAGGAAACCAGAAAACCCTCCAGCTCAGTTCAAGAATAAGCTTGTGGAAAGTTACTTCTTCAAAAGCAAAAGTATCCCATATCATCTCTTCTCATTTTCTTCTCTTTATCCTTCATGCTGCCTGCAAGATAGGGAGAATGTGAACAATCAGCCGGAGCTCTGATTGCTTACTTTGTCTGTCACCTCTTTCAGCAGATCCTCTAGCTCGGCGACTTGGGGGACTCCTACTACATGGTTTGTATCGCGCTTGACCAAGCCTGAAACTACAAGTAAGCTTCAAGTGAAATTGATACATTACCTTGTGCATCTCCACCAGTTAAAGATACCACCCATGGATGGAGGAAGAGTACTTCCAGAGAAGATGCCACATCTACCTATAAGACAGATAAGGCAAGTCAAGACGATACCGCACTCAAATACTTAGAAGTTTCGTGATTACGAGATCATTCTCCCACAATATTTCCTAATGTCATTTGTACTAAATCATTCACTTGTACTCACTAAAGGAGAGCTTGAACCCATGTACTTGTGTAAACCCTTCACAATTAATGAGAACTCCTCTATTCCGTGGACGTAGCCAATCTGGGTGAACCACGTACATCTTGTGTTTGCTTTCCTGTCTCTATCCATTTATATACTTATCCACACTAATGATCAGAGCAATCTAGTGAAGATCACAAAAAGCGACCGTTTTCATTACCTAGGATCTATCGTGCAAGAGAACGGAGAATTAGATGGAGATCTCAACCATAGAATACAAGCTGGATGGATGAAGTGTAAGAGTGCATCCGGCGTGTTGTGTGACCGTCGTAGGTCACTGAAGCTCAAGGGAAAATTTTATAGGACGGCAATAAGGCCAGCGATGTTGTATGGCACAGAATGTTGGGCGGTGAAGCATCAACACGTACACAAAATGGGTGTGGCGGAGATGAGGATGCTTCGTGGGATGTGTGGGCACACGAGAAAGGATAAGATTGGGAATGAGGATATCCGAGGTAAAGTAGGAATAGCCGAAATTGAAGGAAAGATGAGAGAAAATCGGTTCCGGTGATTTGGACATGTGCAAAGAAGGCCTACTGACGCTCCGGTCCGAAGATGTGACTACGGGACAGAGGTTCAGGGCCGAAGGGGTAGAGGAAGACCTAGGAAAACTTTGGAAGAGACTCTAAGAAAAGACTTAGAGTACTTGGATCTAACGGAGGACATGACACAAAACCGAGCGCAATGGCGTTCTAGGATTCATATAGCCGACCCCACTTAGTGGGAAAAGGCTTTGTTGTTGTTGTTGTTGTACTTGTATGTCTACATATAGGTTACTTTTCTTGTGTACTTATATTATCTTTTATACTTGTTTTATTGACATTCAAAGTGCCCATATTTTTAGTTCTGATTTAAGATGACGACTGTGTTCTGTTTTTATAGGTACTTTCACTGTTTCTAATCTTGGGATGTTTGGTGTTGATCGGTTTGATGCTATTCTGCCACCTGGAACTGTAAGCGTTGTATTTTATGCCTTTTCCCGATTTATTTTCTGTTCGAGTGATAATGCATGTTGTATGTTGGTTACAATATTTGTGCGTTTCTGGTTTCAATTTTCACAGGGAGCAATTATGGCTGTTGGATCATCTCAGCCTACTGTTGTGGCTACCAAGGATGGTCGGATTGGACGGAAGAACCAAATGCAGGTAAGAAATTTGAAAGCTATACATATGGGTATGATACATAAAAAGGAAACTACGATTTCTAACTCTTGGAACATGCAATTATTTGCAGGTAAATGTTACTGCTGATCATCGTATAATTTATGGCGCTGATCTGGCTTCATTCTTGCAAACCTTGGCCAAGATTATTGAGGACCCCAAAGATCTTACCTTCTAGTCTCGAAACGTCATGTCACCAAATGTTCCCCGCTTGGCTTTCAGAATGTCTGGGATTTTTCTCCGTATGATCTCGTCAGGCATGCTTCTACCGTTGCTAATCATTTAGGTTTGACGGGAGGCTTGTTCAATTCTATATGACGAATAGGAAAACAATTTTGAACATTAATGCATAATGAGTTTTAGTTCCAGTTCATCAAAGGTTCTATCATAAAATGTTGCTGGCCGTTGTTTTTTCTCAGTCGTTTTCGGGTTTTTAGAGTTGGCTATTGCATGAAACTGGTTATCTAGGTTGTAGAAGTATGTATTTGCAACTTAACAAGCATATCCATGATACAAACGTATTGCTACCGAAATCCAATTCGCAAAATGTTTTGAGGACTTCGTATGTATCGTGCCTATTTTCAACTAACATGAAGCAGTGGTACAACAAGCAACGCATTGTTTATATATTCGCGTTCAGTTTATAAATTTTCTACATGTTACATTACTTCCTATAGTTGCCATATATTCTATGGCAAGATAAGCTTTAAACTACATCGAACGACTGATATTCTAGTTGTAGGAACTGACCGAAGCTTCGGGTTCATCCCATCTTATGCATGGAACTTGTATTCATATAGCGACTTTGAATCATGCCGTGTTACTTTATCTTGCATTGAGGAGCCTCGTAAGCACACTCTTCATTCTTGGCCTTGCTTCGGGTGATACACTAACACAAGCAAGAGCAATTTTCAGGACCGCAAGCATCTGGTTTCGGACAGCAGTTGATGTTCTGCTGATACTGTAATCAAGAATGTGATCCCTTTTATCTTGCTGCGCTGAGTTACTCAAGACCCACTTGGCCAACTCAATCCCCTCACTAACTGCTGGCTTTCCCGTCAGCAACTCCAGCAGAACGACCCCGAAGCTGTAGATATTCCCGGCCATTGTTACAACCATAGTGTATGCATACTCTGCCACCACAGAACAGAGACAAATATTCAGACAAAATTACTTCCAAATCCAGCAAGTTACTTAAATAAGCGGTATACTGACAAGTCGGGGATTACTCTGAGAAACAATATTATGTTACTGCAAGGTGAAAAAATCACAGAACTGCTTACCTGGAGGAATGTAGCCAACAGAACCAGCAATAGTAGAAAGGCTTCCGGTGCTCTTTGAAGGATCGATCACCTTCAAGAGCTCAGCATCTGCAATCAAAGGCTCCTTGAGGGACTTGAGCAAAATGCTTTTGCTTGACAAGTCAAGGAGGAGTATTGGACTTGGAGTGCACCCATGAAGAAAAGAAAGACCCTGCGCTACTCCAACTGCAATACTATACCGGCTCCCCCAATCCATGTCATCGCCCGAGATACCACGAAGAGCATCAAAAAGGGTTCCTTTTGGAGCAAATTCATAGAACAGATAAGCACTGTCACCAGTCAAGACATAGGCCAGAGGATTCATGACATTGGAATTGCTTAGTTTCCCGAAGACCTCTAAATCTCGGGCGAACCTATCGTGGCTGCCCAGTTGGAATATCTTGTCACTCCAGTTGAGCTTCTTCACAAAGTAGCTTGCTCCAGACGGCATGATGGCTTTGTAGTAAGTTGAAAACCTAGTCTTCAGCACAACGTTTGACTGGTCGGAAACTACTTCCATCGCTCTAGTGAAATCGATGTTTGATCTATGAATACCATTTGCAGTTAATAGATTGCCCTGGAGGACCTCAGGAACAGCAAGTTCTTCCTCTGTTTGCACTTGTTCATCATTAACCCTGTAATTTTGCCGTGATATGCGGCAACAATGGTGATCGCTCCAAAAGCAACCACAGCTGCTGCTACAACGGCAAGAACAATTGTCGCTGCATATGATTTTTTCTTCTTCTCCAATTGGGGTGGAGTGTTTATTGTTCTGTTATGCAAATCCTTGTTCCCATTTGTGTCGACCATGACCCAAGAAGAGAACGTCGGAATTTCTCCAGAGAGCTCATTGTTAGAAAGAGACAACTGTGTCAAGGTTCCCAATTTAGTCAAAAAATCAGGTATCTTACCTGAGAATTTGTTATTTGAGAGATCCAGAATTTCTAATACACTGAGACTCGAAAGAGTTTCCGGAATAGGTCCCTGAAAATGATTGCTGCTGAGATTTAAAGCAATCTGTAAATTCGTCGGCATTCTTGGAATGTCACCACTTAATTGATTTTCTCCAAGTTGGAGTTCCATCAGAGAATCCATGGAGGCAATACCGACGGGAATGAAACCGCTGAGCTTGTTACCTTGTAAGTTCATGTTAATAAGACTCCGCATGTTTGAAACTGAAGGTGGTATCGAGCCGTTGATAGAATTCCAGCTGATATTCAGAACGGACAACTTGGGTAGTCGAGTAAATTCAATTGGAATTTCCCCACTCAAATTGTTCGATTGAAGTTTCAAGACCTCAAGACTGCTAAGGTGACCCAACTTTGCCGGCAAAGCCCCAGACAGTTGATTCTGAGCCAAATTCAGCAGCGCCAATTTCCGGCAATCACCCAATTCAGGAGGAATTGATCCAGTCAAGTTATTGTTTTCCATCTCCAAGTAGGTCAACTTGTCATGTGTTGCAATTGCTGCAGAAGGTATCTTCCCATCAAGCGAATTGCTTCCCAGTCTCAACCTCACCAAGCTCGGAGATAGAGTTTCAGGTACCGGTCCATCTAATCTATTATTCGACAAATCCACAGTCTGCAGATTCATTGCCGACAAGAGGTCCGATGGAATCGACCCATTCAATTTATTATAACTGAGATCCAAGTTTTTCAAATGCTCCGTAATGCCACCAGGAATCGTCTCATTGAAATCGTTAGAATTTGCTGCAAATCTCCAAAGGCTTGTGATATTGGAAATGCTTTGTGGGATTCCGCCGGAAAAGTTATTGGCCGAAAGAATCAAAACCTCCAACTTGGAGAGCTCTCCGATCCGAGCAGGAATAATCCCGGTAAGCCGATTTCCGCTAAGATCAATGAGAGTCAAATTCTTATATCCCACAAGTTCAGCAGGGATAGGACCATCAAACGTATTCACAGAAAGCTCAAGCTCCTCCAAAACCTTGGACTTTCCGAGACGGGTTGGAACATGCCCAGCAAAATGGTTGAAGGTAAGGTTCAAGCTTCTGAGCTTGACCAACCCGTCCAACTTGGAGCCAATGCTTCCACTCAAGTTATTCCGAGCAAAGTCCAGAGCTTCCAAACCCAAAAACCCAACAAAATCGGGCAGAGGACCCACCAAATTATTCAGACTAAAATTGAGCAGCTTTAACTCACCTAGCTTTCCACAAGCTGAGATAAACCCAGGCGGAATTGTGGTCAGACGGTTGCTGGACACATCAAGAACCTGCAGAGACTCAATCCGACAAACGAGCGGCAGAAAGTCCGAGGAAGATAGAGAATGCCCGGACAACGAAATCCGGATAACTGATGAATTGGTCGGGGAATTGCACCCGACTCCCTTCCACGAACATGGGTTTGGTTCTTTGTTGACGTCCCATGGAACAGCACCACCAGCAGAAGCGTTGAGGCTGTTGGAGAGATCTATCATTGTGGTTTGTTGGTTTGAGGATAATGCAGAGAACACCACAGGAACAGGAAGGTAGCAGAACAAAGACAAGAAGAAATGGAAATTGAAATACAGGACAAGTGAGGTGGTTTGGCGGCCATAGCTGCTCATTTTCCGGCTACAAAGATGGCGTGAGGGAGATTTGTAGTATGTATACTATAGTTTATGTGATTTTTCAGGTGGAAGGAGGAGAGAGAGAGAGGAGAGAGAGAGGATCAGAGGTAGATGTCTGTGTGTTGGGTTATGGAATGTTTGGGGGAACGGGAAAGTTCGTGGGAGCAGGGAACAAAGTGAAGGAAGAGAAAAATGCCGGGCGTGTTGGTTGGGATAGGGGAGCGGAGTTGACTTGGACTATTGACCAATGGGTCTGTTTCTTGCGAAGACTTCACACGGAGAGTTAAAAAATGAGTGGTCTCTGCAGTGTGGAGTGTGGAATTAAACTTCCACCAAGCGATTTTCGAGCAGGGGCTTCTTGTTATTGGTACCGTAGTCGGTAAATTTAAATTACGAAATTAGTACGGAAAATCACGTACGTATATTACTGGCCAACTTTGCAAAATTGATATTTTATAAACGTGGCTATTTTTTTTAGGTATGTGATATCCATACATCCTATTTTACTTTTCACACATTTTTTAATTTTCGATCGTCGGATCGGATGAATTGAAGAAAATCAACGGACAGAAATTATTAAGGGGCGTGTACATAACACACCCCTTTTTTTAAGAGAGCTTTCATGAAAAAGGTTTTTCTTTTTTTTTTTTGTTTTTTGTCAAACGATAGATTTTGTTAGATTAAATGTTAGATTAGCCACCGACGAGGTTCGAATCCACGCTGTTATGTAAGGGCTCAATTCCTTTCCACTACTATGGTAAAGGGTCACTTGCTTTATGAAAAGGATTTGGATTAAGTTTATTTTAACAAAAAACCATGCTATAACTTTATTTAATGAAAAAAAAAAACTTAAATTTTAATGAAAATGACACAATTTTGATATAAATTAAAAAAAAAATAACATAACCCATCCATCACAAACATTGTTTATGAAATTGAACAATACTATATTGTTTATGAAACTTAATGGTACTACACTATTTATGAAACTGAACGGTACTATATTATTTATGAAATTGAACATGATTATACTATTTATTGGTCCAAATTCATAAATAGTGCCTAGTTCTTGGTTCATTTTCATAAATAGTGCCTATTTATTGGGTCCAGTTTCATAAATAGTGTATAGTAATTTGTATAGTTTCATAACCAGTGTCTCACTCTTGGTCCAGTTTCATAACTAGTGCCTAGTTCTTGGTCCACTTTCATATATAATGCCTAGTTCTTCGTCATTTTTCATAAATAGTGTCTAGTTCTTGATCCAATTTCATATATAGTGTATAGATACTCAGTCGTTCCTCCCTTCTTTTTCACGTTCTCTTCATGAGATACCCAAATCAAACACAACCCTTGCTACGAAGCTATAGAGCTTTGTAATCACATAAAAATGTTGGAGTGGTGAAAAATTTCTTAAGAAAGTTGGAGAACACCCAGCGGCGGTGAACAGGAAATTCCATAATAACAAAAAAATTACTAAAAAAAACACACAAAAAAAAAAAAAAACACAAAACAAAATTGAAGTGGGTGAAAACCCTGAAAACCCCAATGTTTGAAGAAATTGATGTTAAGTACTTGGGAGTGCTCATTGAGTTGCACGCGCGCCAATAGGGGGTTTTTTTTTCTTGTGTCTTTATTATTAAATAAAGTTATAGGATAGCTTTTGGTTAAAATTTAAAATTTTGGAGTCATTTTCATTAGTTTTCATTTTTACTAAAGACTTACTTTTAGCTATGTCCTCTGAAACTCGAATTTAATCCAATTTTGTTCATTGCAACTCAAAAGTCGCCACTTTACCTCTAAAACTCAAAGTTCACTTCACTTTGCTCCATGGAATTCGATTTTGATCGCATTTCCCCCCTGAAACTTGAAAATCTTCTCTATAAAACTCAAAATTATCTCCACGTTGCCTTAGATTTGTTAATCTCTTATGTGATTTTGATTTGGGTGCACCAGGAAAATAAATTTATTTTTTAGTTTTCATCTCTTTAATTTCTTTTAAACTTAATATTTTCTGAGTCTAGAATGTTAACACATAATAGAGATTTATAATCAAATTTATTGCTCATGTGGCATAATCTTATTGGTTGTTGGATCCCACATATGTTTTAGGATGTGACATATAAGTTTTAGGAAGAAGAGAGTCCACAAGTCAAAGTGGAACGAATTTTGAGTTTTAGGAAGTAAAGTGGTGATTTCTGAGTTACAGGAGCCAGGAGGCAAAGTGAGAGCAAAATAGAGTTCTACATAGTGTAGCTAAAAATAAGCATTTTTGAATTTAATATTCAAAAATGTTATTTTTACCATATATTTGTACCATTATTTGTATCATCTTTCTAAAAGAGATGAAATTTTATTTGTATTATTGAAAATTATTTAAACGTGTATTAAAAATAGGCTTACTTCTCACACACCTCTTGATAATTTATGTCCATTGATCTTCTTCAATTCATCTGATCCAACGACTGAAAATTAAAAAGGTGTGTGAGAAGTAAAATGGGGTGTGTGGATATCACACCCCTAAAATAAAAAGTATGTATGTACTTGTAGAACACATGTATCATATATTAGAGCTTAAAAACAAGTGCAATCTTTAAGATGTACAAAAATTGTACCATATGCATATTACATGCAAATTTACTAACTATAAACTCAAAATACATACAGGAAGAGACTCTTGCATCCAGGTCCCCAAAATGGGTCGTGTGAGATCCAAATGCCAAAGAGAGGTCCACCAAAATGGGTCGGGTGAGATCCAAACGCCAACGAGAGTTTTCCTTGTATTTTTCTTAAGTGTTTATGTAACGTGACACGGGAACTGATACTTAAAAGGATTCCTCAATTCATATGGAAAGAGATCCTCTCCGGATCTCTCCCTTCAAAGCCACCAAATTAAGTGATCTAGACTTTTGAAAATTAATCCAACGGCTAAAAACAGAGAAGTTGGTAAAAAAAAATTTATAAGCTATAATAGTTTTTAACCATTGAATCAAATTAAAAAAAGCCGGATCATTTGATATGGAGGCTTTAGAAAAAGAGATCCAGAGAGGATATCTTTCCAATACATACGGCCCTATAAAAGTTTCTATCGTGTGGAGCCATGCTTTACTTGAAAACTAGGTTGTTCAAAAACGCGTAAATGGAGAAAGAAGAAGTTAAAAATATAGATGAGAATGGGAAGGTGCAGATTGATTCCACTAAAAATCGTTTGTTACTGGAAAATGTGATTCCCTTGAAGTCATGAAGGTTTTAATTCGATTGGTTAACATAGTCGTCTTGACCTTGGCGGTCATGTCGTGAATGATCGGCTGCCCTTTTTCTGGGCCCGCCATTGACTTTTGTGCTTTGAACCGGACCTGCATTGACTGACCAGTTGTTGTGTTTGATGTGTTGGTTGTTTTACCTTCCTTGGATCAAACTGGCCACCATTTGACGTTCTTTCAAAGCCTTAATAATTGGATCACTAGTTCAATTTTCCGTTATTTCAATAAATAATTGGATCACTAGTTCTTGAACTTGTTTGAGATAAAACTTAAATTTTGGGCTAAAAAGGGGGTTAGCCCAAAAGAAGGTCTAGAAGGAGGAAAAGTCCAAGGCCTAGCCGAAGCCTAGAAGAAAGAAGGAGCCTTTTTCTTGACTAAGTGCAGATCACTCAAACCACCTGCTCACCTACCTAGAGGTTAAGTGATGTAGACCAGCCAGCTAATCAGCTCAAAAGTACTTTACAATGGCAGTACAAGTAAAAAGCTGATGAGTCATTACCCTTCAGATGCATTCGGGCAAAATAAATACTGCAGGCAGCCAAGCCAAATCGTCTATAAAAGGAGGAAGAAAAATCAGGGACAAGGACACTCAATCAAACAAACAAATACAAGCACAAACTCTGCTCAAGCCAGATTTGCCTTCACGAAGCTGTAGTCAGCCCTCAAGCCTTCATCCCTTTAGGGATCAACCTTCACCAGAAAGCCTTTGTAAAAGCTCTGCTACCCTATCTAAATCTTGTTGTAGTATCGATTACCTCTTGTAAACTCATCTCCCAATCTCCCTTTCTAGCATTCAAAGCCTTTGTAAATCACAAAGAGAGGAAGTTGCAAGACGATCAGTCTTGCCCGACAAGGTGAAATCTTGCCCGACCTCCTTTGTTTTTGTCTTTCATTCATAAATCTAGTAATATGATGTATATTTCCAGCTGCATCCAAGTTATTTCTAGCTAGTTTATGATTAAAAGACTTCTAAGTTCTAACCATTCGGGCATACAAGATTTATCAATTAAAAGTCCTTGATCTCAAGGCATAAAAAGAACCCTATGTGGACTTAACCCATCCACGACAGTCCTTGATAACAAGAAGTCCGAAGTTACTTGGGGTGCAAATAATTAGCCTATTTCTTAGTTTTACTTCTGTTATATCATGATTGCTACAGAACGCTTGAGTATAGAATTAATTCTGATGAGAAGCCTTATAGCCTATATCTAAGGTTCCACAAAGGCACCTATCTGAGTCCGTTCTGCTCTGCGGGCTCGAGCGATTAAGGTATAACGGTTGTGATACTTCTGCAACAATGAAACAACCAATATATGTTTGAGTACTTAATTAGTTTTGATTGGAAGTCTCAATGCCTACACCTAAGGCCCCACAAAGGCACCTTTCATTACTAAATTCGGGCATATTTAATCAAACTGAACATTTGTTTTACATCTGTCATGCTAAAGATGACAGTGCCTGAACACCTAAATGTTAATTTTGATTGTGAGCCTCAAGGCCTACACCTAAGGCCCCATAAAGGCACCTTTCAGGATTAACTCTGTCCTTCTCTTATAGCCCGCCAATAAGCAGAAGCCCGATAGACAATATCAACTGGCGCCAAACCTCTCGGGGAGCTGTGTGCTCGTTGGCCAAGAAAAGTCCCCACTGGATATTCCTCAAGACGAACAGAACTATTATCAAATTATTGTTTTGGTGCCTTGATTACTGACGGAAATTACATCAGTGTTTGCAAATATAGCTATGGTTGTAAAGCCGAACCTAAAAACATTGTGCTCAAGTTTGGCTTGTTTAATTATTTCCGAGCTCAAGCTAGGTTTGGCTTGGTTCTTACATGAGAGCACAATATTTGTAGGTTCGGAAATTATTAAACAAGCCAAACTTGCTACTAGCTCTCTTGTAAGAAGGGGAGGCTGCAAATGAGAATCAGTCTTTGCAATCCTGTTGCTAGCTAGCATTTTTGAAGGTCCTTGTTGGTAAGAGCGCAAAAATTGTT